GAGAATAATGCTTTTGGCAATTTTTTACAAAAGCATCAAGAATAAATCTCACAGCTGCTAATTCATCTTGACGAAGTCTTTCATTTCTTGTAGCTTTGTCATCAAAACGAATTACTCTGAGAAGAAATCGGAATCTGTTTTCAGACATAGCTATTCTACACAATCCAGTACTATCTCTTGCATCATCTGTATTCAATTTATTTGCTTTCATGACCCCAAGAAAGTAAACAATTCCCAATAAAGCTTTAATTTCATGTAGGTTTGTCAAATTAGCATCTCTTTCTCTGCTATAGTTATGCTGAATATTCCTAATGTAAATGTTAGTATTTGTAACTATGCATTCAAGTAGGTTGTCATCTATAAAGAGATTCCAACAATCTAATATTGATTTAGCATTTTTTGCTTCACCCTTTACCCCTGGTAGATGGGTGATAATATTTTCACTGCGAGGTTGAACATTTTTGGGTAGAAGAGATTTCTTCCATTTAGTCTTTTGGTCCTTTCCTATATAATGATTGAAGCTTGGATCCTCATTGTTTTCTTCTTCTGATAATGTTCAATGTCTGTACTCCAATTCCTATATGATCATCAGTTTCTGATTCCTCATCATCGGGATTTGGAATATTATTATCATCACGAAGAAAATCAGCGTTTGAAAGCATTTTATGTAAAATAATGTGTAAAAAAAAAAAAGGAAATAAAATATAAATCCTACCTTATTGTTGGAAGAGAGAGAGAGAGAGAGAGAGAATAGATTGTATTATTGCACTTGGGGCAGCAAAACCAAACAACAAGAAGCCAGAGAGTAACCCGAAACTTAATTACGCAAACCAAAACCAAAAGCGATAAAAGGTCGCGCTGGGTAAAAATTACCCAATGACGAGAACTCAAAAGGTCGCGCTGGGTAAAATTGACCCAAACATGCTAATAAAATGAATAAATGTCATAAAATTAAAATTATAGGTTTATTATAATAATCTTTAGATAGATTTAGAAAGGTACTGAGAATATATTTTAAATAATTATATTTTTTAATATAGAAATATTTTCTAAAAAGTTCCTTCTGGGTAATTTTTACCCATTGCGACCGCTTAAGGTTTAATTAAATATTTAAAAGGTATAAGAGTATTTTAGAACATCTTTCTCAAATAATATAATACTATATTTGAAAAAATGCCTCTAATACCTTGTTGTTTGAAAGTGAAAAGTGAAAATCAGAATTGTCTTAAAATATATCGGTATTTCCATCAAAAATCCTCTTCTTCTTCTTCCAATTCCAGTTTCCACATATTCTTCTGGAGTGTATATTAATTTTTTTTTTAACCTGTTATTCAAACCATTTCTGGCTTTAAAATTATTTAGAATTATTTTTTAGCCTAGGTTAAACTTGATATAGAACGCTTCTAAAAGGGCATGCTGCCACTGTTTTTTTTTTTAGAACGCCACTCTTTATTCTTTTCTTTATTTTGGAAGCCATTTGTATTTTTCTTCTATTTCAAAATTGTCGAATACAAAGATATTCTATTAAATAAAAGTATAATGTGTAAAAATTTATACAACATACAGCAAAAATAGAATGGAAATGAAAACAAACAATGCCGCTAATTTTTTGTTTTGAAATTGCGATCCATGAGCTGAAAAATGCTCAAAATTTTGTTGTTTTAAAAAATTTTTAAATCACAATTTTAAGTTCGTTATAAGCATAGTATTTTTAATAGATTTTATCATTTTGGGACTGAAAATATGTTCCTTATAGGGGTAGTTTGTTATTTTAAAAATCGCAAAGTTCGTTATAACGATGGTATTTTCAATGGAATGGAATTGGGAATCGCCGTGGGTTCGTTATAAGGGAAGGTTCGCTATATCCAGGGTTCGTATTAGTGGGGTTTTACTGTATAATTATGATGCCACGGTTTTAAGTAATTGGCCCTCATGTGCTGATGTTATTTTTGTATAAGTGGTGTCAGGTGGTAAATTATACAATTTCATCATCTTTGGGAAATCATTTGAAGCTTGGAACTGGAAGTTGAGAGGGGATTAAAAAAAAGAATGTTCTTATTTGGTATGAATCTGCTGCAACTTCAAGTGCAATATATGCAACTGCAAAAGCAAAATGGGAGATGAAAATAATTTTTTATACGAAGGTATTGTATACCATTCTTTATCCAATCAACACTTTGGTAAAGCTCCTCCTTTGCATCCAGTTTAGCTTTGCTATGCTATTGGCAGCCTTGTGTAGTAGACCTGGAATGAATGTTGCAACGACAATCTCCAATAGTAATACATACAAAAATGTTGGGCTTCAGGAAGGAGAAGGCCGGGACAACCGACAGCCCTGCGTGGTGGTACAGACAAGCCTGGGCTGTGGCCACTACCTGTGTTGCCAGTCGGAGCAGGAGCTGGCTAGGTTGGAGGCAGCCTGGCAGCGCTGCACCCACAATGCAGTCGCCCGGCTTGGCAGCAAAACCTTCCCAGTGGGCCACCTGGGGCAGTCCGCTGCCCTCACCTTGGACTGGGGCTCTGGCTGCTTCTCTCTCTTTGACCCCAATGCCAAGGTGACCCCAATGTTAGACACATTGTTCATGTTGATTTGGGGTGAAATGGGGGGTACAAGTTGTCAAGAAAGTTTGTATTCTGATAATACAGAAAAGAGCAGAATGCAAGGATGATATTATAGAAGGGTACAATTTACCCTTCTCTTAAAAAATATCTTGCTCTATACCTGCAGCTCATTGGATGTGATGCTGTGGCTCTTTAGTTCCATATACAAATATTATTTATGAGAATACTATTTATTGTTGCCAAGAAAAAATGTTTTTTGTGGCTCTTTAAAAACTTTGAAATTTTGTAAATTGTAATTTTTTACTTTTCCTACTCAAAAGTTTGCCGACCACCTCTCTATACAATTGTTATGAAATATAAATGGACAAAGAACTCTCTCTTTATACCTACAGAGTAGAGTTATTTCATGAAATGCATTTTGAATCTGAACAAATCTTTTATTAAAAGGATTTAAAAGCGCGAATGTTTCTTTTATACATAAAACGAACTTCTACTGTCCTTACTGCGATGAAAAAATATATATTATGTATAAAAGAAACATTCGCGCTTTTAAATCCTTTTATTTTATATGTATAGATGGCGCGTTATTGCTTTGTGTTAATTTATTCCTAACTGGCCTTGTCTTTATAGTTTGGTGAAGAGCCTTGCTTGAAGCAAATATTTGAATGTAATTCTACTGTCCTATAAGCTTATGTCCATAGTTTACTTGAAAACCATTTCTAAGATTCCATCCTTCAGTGTAGCATATAAAAGCAGAATGATCCAATACAGTATTAGAGCTCTGAGAAGCGGTCTGGTTGATTAAATTGGCGAAACCGCTGGGAGGGTTCACCACTGATGAGCCAAGCCCTTCCAATATATTTTTTCATCGCAGTAAGGACAGTAGAAGTTTGTATTATGTATAAAAGAAACATTCGCGCTTTTAAATCCTTTTATTTTATATGTATAGATGGCGCGTTATTGCTTTGTGTTAAATCTTTTATTGCTTTTTGCTATTTGAACAAGCCTGTCTCATTCAAGGTATCTTGGTGGGCTTTTCAAAGAATAAATAAGTTATAAAAGATTGGTTTTTAGATCCAAAATGTACTTCATAATATAGAAATAAATATATCCTATGTATGGAAGGTGCGTGTTGGCCTAATAGAAATACATATTTTATAGATTACACTATTTTCAGATTTTTTTTTTTCTTTTTACTTATCCCTAAGTACACGTGGTACAGGCCATGATAATCATGGTGGGTAGTTAGCGACTGCTTTTACTGTAAGCACACTAAATGTCTACACATGTGAAAAAGCAGTTTGACTTTGCACTTACAAATGTGCCAGAGCCCCGTTTGGTTACTTGCACCTCGCTGGTGGGGTTGGACTTTTGCAAGAATCGGTGGCGATTGGAGCTTTTTTTTTTTTTTTTTAATCAGAAAAAAGTGTCCAATGCAGGAATCAAACCCGGGTCGTAGTGGTCGAAAACTAAACGGTTTAACCAGCCTACCACCGACCCCCCCCAGATTAGATTGTACATGTGTAAGTTTGAATAAATCAATATTATTTTTATTTTTCATTTATATATCTTGCAATTACTACAGTAAAGTCTCTATAGCAAACTTTTCTCATAAAAAAGACCTCTAAAACTTTTATTTTAAAACTATAGTGAACCAAAAGTTCAGCCCTATTGTAGTTTTCTCTATAGTGAGGATTTACTGTAGGTTGAGTGAGTCACACTAATCATGACATATTGGATGAACTTGACCATCTTACATTCCTGTGTAAAGTCAAGCCATTGTGTCATGAGATACAGATGGTTACAGCTACCATAGTACTTCACAGAATCTAATTGATATAAGCCAATCTTGTAGGTTTTATAAAATAGCATTTAAAATGTTTTCTTCATTTATATAAATATAGTTTAAACTCTCTGTTAATTTTTGGTTAGGGATCAATTATAATACAATAATATTTGAAAATCCTTATATCTATAAAAATGAAATGCGAAATCGATGTTTGTTATCGCTTTACGCAAAATCTACTGACTCAATCATTATGAAATTTCGCATGTAGGTAGCTGAAGATTTCGTTTAACATATAGGATATTCAAAAAACTACAAAGGTTAATGTGCTTTTTTTAAAATGTTTAACTGAAATGGATTAGTTCCCGCCTTTTGCCGCTTGGCGCCGCACTGGTCGCGACGATACATGAATTTGATTGGTTAATAATTTTACACTTATTTTGTTAGTTTGCACGCTGCATTTTTTTCAAAAGGTAAGATTATATATATTTATTTAAACTCTTTGAAAATAATATTGTTTAGAAATATTTTCCTAATTTAATTGATAATACATTTTTTTAGATAAGGTTTACTATTTGATTCTCATAAGGAATATTCATATTATAATATATACAGTTATCAGCGTCATGCGTTCTTAATTCTGTCACCGTTTGCTTTTGGTTCAGTGGTAGAATGCTCGCCTGCCACGCGGGCGATGCATTTTTTTTTTTTTTTACAATTTTTAAAACTCATTTATATATTATAGTGGCGGGCACCCCGGGTTCGATTCCCTGCCGATGCATTTTTTTTATTTCACAATTTTTAAAACTCATTTATATATTATACAAGAATGACATCCACGGCGCCAATTTATTATTGTAACGAATAGTATTTGAATAAAAGCATTTAATCGGGTAAACCCCGGGCGTTGCCAGGGTCATTTGGCTAGTTAGAAATATATTTCAAGTACTATTTTTAAAAACAAATTAAAAATATGAAAAAAATAAAATTTTCAAATACAATAATCTTTGGAGGTATTTAGCGAGTACATTTAATGTAAATGTACCACATGTCTACACATGTTAATAAATTTAACATACACTTACAAGGTGCCAGAACACTTTTTGGTTACTTGCACTCACTGGTGGGGTTGGATGGTGGCATTGAATCAATTTATTATTTCAAAGACAGCTTAATGTGAGATTCCCTCCCTGTGTCACCAGTCAGCCTTGATGAGCACAGCTTTATTCGGATTATATTGGAATAATAATAGGGGATGCTATAATATCTTACATAGGAGAGCTTGCACGGTTATTTCTGCAAACTTGGAGAGTTCCACAACCCGAGGTCAGGCTGTTTTTGTAATACTGGGGTACTCAGGATAGATATACCACTTTATCCCTTTTAGAAATCTTCATTTTTTTTAATGCGGTCTTTGTACGGAAATGTGCAAAAAAAAAAAAGAATTAGAATAAATAACATCACATACAATTTGATTAGAAATTAGAAATAAAAGGTAACAAGACCAAATAGATGAATTGTATGTGACATTTCAGTAACAGTGTTGTTACCAAAGCATCATGTACAATTTATAGATTTGGATTTGGTCTTGTTACCTTTGGTTTATAGTAGTATATATAGGTTGTATATATATTTTATAAAAGCTTTTCCCCTAAAAACCTGCTTGCTGATTTGTGCCTCAGGTAACACTATGGAAGTACAAATTCTCCCAACTCAAGTCCTCCTCAGATGATGGCAGTTCTAAAGTACAACTATCATTCCAAGAGGGCTCCGAGCTCCTGATCAAGGTAACTGACTATTGGTTGAACAGGTTGCTAGGACAATGATTTGAACACATTAGTCTTTAAAATGAGGTGGAATATCATGGAATTAAAACCAGCTTTTGTAATCAGGTTTATTTGAATAAAAATTCTCTTTAAAATAGAATTACTTTCTTGGTGAGAATTTTTGAATAAATAAAAGAAATATATTGAAAATAGGCAGACCTCCAGACTACTGTTCCACCTGTAGTTGTTTTACATTAAACAGTACCTTGAATTCACAATGGTGGCTTTGATTTTTCAATTTACATCTAAATGATATCATTGTACAGCAAGTTTTATTTATTGATAGAATAATCTTTCCAATATGCCCTTAGAGCTGAGGAAAAAAGCTTTCCCTCTTCCTTAAATAAAGGAAAGTTGTGCAGCAATGATATTTTTCATATCGATCCCATGTTTCATGTTTAGGGTCCATACATGGTACAGGAAGCTTGCCATTCAGCCTTTTTGTTCATCAATTAGAGAATTTTCACAACTTTTGAGTGCCTGCTTATGTAGAAAAGAAATGGATCTCTATATTTGCATATAGTTCTCTTTTGAATCTTCTTTGACACATGGCCTTTAGATGATTTTCTCCCATGGCATTCTTGTAAATAAGGTAGGAAATCATTACTTCTAGGTCTCAAATTCTGCCACCAGGAATAACGTGATGATCTACAATGTCTGCCCTTCCCATATTTGTAGTATAATTGACTAGAGCTGTTGGCTTTAATATTGTTCCATTCTTATTCTCCTCTTTTTTCCTCAATCTTGGGTAAAGCAACACAGGTCATCTTCTGTTACATCCTCCCAATCACCAGAAGTGTCTAAATTATCATTATTATCATAAAAACTTCCTTTTCTTCTGAATCATTTAAATATAATTGAGAAGTCTCTAATTGAAAAAAAAAAAGAAAGAAAATGTAACCTGTAGATGTACTAGCAATCGGTGAAGTCACCATCTAAATAGCAAAAATTCACAGATAATTAAATGAAAATAACCATAGAATTCCATCATGCAAAGATTTGTTGATAGACTACCACTTTATTCTAAAAATAGAATTGCAGCAGCTACATTTATACTGATTTAAAGGCCATTTTGTTGTTGTTGTTTCTTATCCCCCTGTGTAAAGATTACACAAATTCCTTGAGTTCATGCTCCTCGAGCTGTTTTATGATGAGCAGCGGCCTCTCCCAAAGGTCCTGTTTAGTGCATCTAATGCAAGCCAAAATGTGTTCTGGAGCTGCAGGTGCCAAGCTACATTTGCGATGCAGCATGCAAATCAACATTTGATCTCATGGAAAGGGGTGTAGGGGTGCAGCTTTCGTTGATCATGGCACCATGATCCAGGCACACTTTGGTGAAAGTCTGACTTTGCCTTGAGTATATCAAATTCATGTAAGTCAGGGGGTAAGATTTTGATTGTTTACAAAAAAGTGAGAGGGAGAGAGAAAAATGCATAATAAACTAATATAGATTAACCTTCGCCCATCATCGCCGTAAAGGTGTAAGAACAGTAAACTATATGAAAAATAATACAAAAGTGTTTCGTTGTTTTTTTTTCTTATCCCCTTGTGTAAAGATTACACAAATTCCATGAGTCCATGCTCCATGATCTGTTCGATAATAAGCAGTGATCTCTTTCAAAGGTTCTGTTTAGTCCATCTAATGCAAGCCAAAATGTTTTCTGGAGCTGCAGGCGCCAAGCTACCTTTTGGGCAAGTGGGGTAGATTTTGTTATTATTTTCTATCTTCAATTGCTTGAGATGGCCTGTTCTAAATCTTGTTAGTGTTATTTGGTGCTGTCTGAGGTTCAGAGCTCCTCCTAAGTCCACTCTACTGTACCAGCCATGCTTAGGCGGGATACTCTAGTTCTAGTGTATTTTGTTTTACTTGGCTACTGTCTGTATTTAAAAGTAAGTTTATCATTGTGCTAGTGTTAAATTAAGGCATATCCTGATCATGCAACTAGTGACTGCATCAACATATATAGTCACGACCGTCTTTCCACCGTCAATCAATTCCTCATGTCACGGATGCGCGCGCATCATCATTATGATCATTATCATTATCTAATGATAATAATAATAATAATTATTATTATATTATTATTATTATTATTATCAACATATATAGTCACGACCGTCTTTCCACCGTAAATCAATTCCTCAATTCCTCATGTCACGGATGCGCGCGCATCATCATTATGATCATTATCTTCTATAGAAGCTTCTATCTTTATAATTATGTATATTTACAAAAAGTCAATTCGCTCGCGCCTCTAGCGGTGAAAATGAGGGGTAATACCAGCTGACCTAATGTACATGTAAAGTTTGGAGCGGGACGTTTCACAAGAGTGACATCCACGGCTCCAATTTATAATTGTAACAAATAGTATTGGAATAAAAACATTCAATCGGGTAAAACACGGGCGTTGCCCGGGTCATTCGTCTAGTAAATAAATAAGAATAAATATCAGCTAATCATAGATTTTTAATTACTCCACTTTAATCAAGAAAAGCTAATTATGTACATGTTTCAGGCTCTTGGTCCTCATCAGCGTGGTACAAGCTGTTTCTCATGTCCTTGAACCTTAAATACTCATTTCTTGATTTTTCAGAAAGGCTTCAAGAGAGAAAGAGACCAGCTTTGAGGTACAGCTTGCACCACCCTGAAGAGGGTCTTTAGCCTGAAACACGTACTTGGTTAGCTTTTCTTGATTATCAAGAATTTGGTCAATTCTGGAATAAATAGAAATCAGTGATTAGTTGATATTTATTCCAACAGATGCTGCAAGCCATTAGAAACTTTGATTTGCATAATCAGGAGATGCCTTAATTTGTCAACCTGACCCTAGCACACTTTTGTACTGTCTTCTCATAGTATTTTTACAGTATTATTACTTTTTGAACCTGCACATTTATACAAAGTTGTGCCAATACTCATATCCTTTGTATATTTCAAAATTTGTGGCCACCTAGAGAGTATTAGTGGACGATGGAATGCTAGTCAGATAACTGAGTAGTTGAATATAAATGGACTTTATCCTTAGAAGATTGAGATATTAAAATATATATAATTTTAGCGGCCCAAACCTATATCCAGGAAAGAAGGTTACATCACCTTCCCCATAAATTCTTTCACACCATGAGTTGACCAAGCAAGCTGTGTCCCCCCACCACAGGAGCTGGAGTGCCAGTCCCTGCCCAAGCTCCTGTGCTGCATGCATGCCTTCCTGACAGCCAAGCTGGCCTCAGTGGACCCTGCCTTCCTCTCCTCCTCTTCCTCCTCCCACTGACACAGATCTATTTTCTTAACACTTATTTTTCTACTCATCTGTTCCATCGCATTTTCTATACATAGCTTTTTCTACAGAATGGCCACGGCGGCTTTAAGAGACTGAGTACACAACGAACTTACTATAAGATCTCTCAGTAACCTTTATATCTTTGTCCAACCTGGCCCAATGCTATCTGGTAACTGATTTGTAATATTAGGTTTCTCCCTACCTATATATACTGAACCCTTTTTCTGAATATACATTTCAACATCCACTTGTACATACTGTGTTTTGTTTTCTGATAATAAGGTTGAAAAATAAGTTGTTTTTTTATTTTTTAATATCACATTTGATTTTTTACTTGTTGTTTTTAAGCTTTCATTACTTCAAATTTTAATAATGGAATTTTTTTAAATAATCTCCTTGGTTGTGAAACCATTTCAAATAGGTTCCTCTGTTCTGGATGTCAGAGTGTAAGTATTAAGGATTAACAGGAGATGCCCTCTATTGATGGAGAGATTGGAAGAATGAAGGGAGAGAGGTAGTTCAAAGAAAGATTGATTTGATAATCTAAGAGAAAGGTCTGGAATTGCTCAGCACAGTGGAATGGTGATGATTGACCTCCTTATCAAAGATGGCGGCTGTACTACATGATGGTAAACAAATGCTATCAAGTAATGGTCTGACCAGATAACTCCAGG